TCAGTGTTAAAAGCCATGTTGACTCTTTCTTAATCTGTGTTTATCCATACCTCAGATTTCTTAAGTGGAGACAAAGGAGCAGGCCATTGCGAGGAAAACATACCTGCCCAGCTAATAAAATGAGAAACTAGCCTTTCTACAAAGATTCAAAATAAGGAAGGAAGCCATCTAATTGTCTCCAAGGTTACTGGGCTAACCATTAGAAAGGATGTATCCCCTTCATTAGAAAATATGCTAAAAGTGACTCTAAGCTCTTCTTCTAGAAATGTTCCGTAGAAGATTAAATGTTAAGGTCACATACGAAATCTGAAAAAAAGGTGCTGTGATGTCTAGGTCAGAACCATCATTGTGACAGACAGTTGGATGTAAACGAGCCTGTGAAAGGCCAAGTTACAATCTACCAGGATGCCAGCTTTATTTCTTGTTACTTAATTCTTTGTGATCACTCCTGCCACAGAACAATACTGAAATAGAGAAACCATAGCTTTATATTCTGTACATTAGACTGTGAGTTTTGAAAGCTTTCAAAGTATTTTGATTGTTATAGCTTTAAAAAGGTTGTATTGTTTCGAGGTAGATGAAAAATTACTTATTTCTGAGTTTACATAATTGTGATGAACTGTGGGTGATAAAAGGAATTATTGGGTAGAATATAAAATAGCAACTGGAAGGTATGCAAATAACTCAAAAGGAGAAACGCTAAATATCAAAGGTATTGTAAAACATCTTTGTTCACGTTCAAAGCACCTGAGGTTTATATTCACATTTTTATCTTACTTCTAGACGTCCAGACACAACAGAGGCAGAAGAGCCAACAACAGCCTGTCCCTATTGTGCATTCCAGCTCCCAGAGTGCGAACTCCTGTGTCCCGGCTGTAAAAACAATCTCCCCTACTGTATTGCAACTGTGAGTGTCTGCAGTATTTCCGCAGTGTGCGGAACACAAAGCTTTTCTTCCCTTCAAAAAATAAGTGCATCTGAACATCTTCGGTTTGCTAGTAAATTCAAGCTAGAGGTGTTTGTGGGTTTGTTTGGGGTTTTTTTCCAAGCTGTTACCAAATCAGTGAAACCATTGTTGTTGTCTATCATAGAGTGTCCTTAGTTGCCACCTACAAGTTGCAGGCACTGAAGGGTGACAGTAAAATCATGAAGTGGTTCTGGAAGACTTGAGCTTCCAGAGAAGGAGCTGGTGCACCAGGACTGCCCTGAACACCCGGCATATGTGCGTTCAATGCAGTTGGTGCACTTGGGAGAACACGCAGACAGGACTGTGCTGCTGGTGCCTTCCCAGCTCAGCCCTTTGCTCGGGCGCTCCAGTGCTCAGAGCAATGATGGCAGAGATAGAAGTCCCCCTTTCTTCTTCCATGTACAGGAGCTTGTGGAGGGCACGGCTCTCCTCCCATAAACTCCAGGCTGCCAAGATTTCAAATTAAAAAACCCTACACTTCAAAAATCTGTTTCAGGGAATGCCCAGAATGTAACAGAATTTATGGTTATGGTTCAGCCAGTGACCTAAGCATTTTATATCACTGATCCTTACAGAAAGTAGAAGTTCTAACATTTTTGTTTCATGATACTTTAGAGTGTACTGAAAAGGTGTGGATGGGGTACATTTCCCAGTGGAAGAGCCATGTATTCCACTGTTACCAGTATCAGTACAAAATCCTTATACTGAGGTTAGCTACTCTATAACTAATACTTTATTTTTACTAGGTTCAGGTGCTTTGTCACAGTAGAATTACAAAAAAATCAAAATGTACTTGAGCAGGAATAAAATGTTGGAGTTAGCATTCTTTATTAAAACGAAAAAATTAAGTCTTACAAAAAATATTAATAGCAATTATGTATTTTTTTTATTCTTGGTTTAACAGAATAAGATGACCAGTCTAATTTAGAAGTATTATCTTAACCAAAAAAACCCAAGGCTTTTAAATATAGCTTTATGGGCCAAGCAATAATTTGTGTATACTTCATATTATTTATTTAGGTTCTGTCTTGGTTATAGTTCATTCACATCACAGGTATTTGTAACATCATTAGGAATGCAGCATTTCCAAATATCTTATGAGAGTCAGTGTCAAAACAGTCTGCTGTTGCACATTAGAACATAAATCTCTCAATATAGTTCCAGGTGCTGTTGCATTTTATAGTAGTGAAAAGGTACACATGAATCCTTTGTATGAAAAGCAAATGAGTAAACCATACCAAAACAGAAGATCTAACTTCTGTTTAAAGAGGCAAGTGTAAGGCAGTCACGGTGCTCACAAACTTAACAGCCTTGAAGGGGATCTCCTGGGCTCCAGTGATGTAGCTTTGGGGTAATCTTTTTGAATCTATTTTGCAACACCAAAAAATCCCAGTAGATTTATGTACAATCACCAGACATGGATCAACAAATGCCACTGTAGAATTGCCAAACTAAAAGACTTTTCAAAATTGTAATTTAATACATTCTTAATTTCTCTTTTTAAAACAGGAATGCAGATTATACTGAAAATGCAGCATCTCACCAAGAGCCCCTTTTCTAGTTACAGAATTTACACAGTAATCAAACCACAGTAACACTATTATGGTTTTAGTTAATTCCTCAAGATCGTTGAAAAAGTCTCAGCAACTGAGTTCTACAGTAACAGCTACAGAACTAAATGCCCAGTGTACCAGGACAGCACATGCCATTTAATTATGTGTGGCTTTTGTATGCAGGGTCGGCATATGGTACAAGATGACTGGACAGTCTGCCCACACTGTGACTTTCCTGCCCTCTATTCAGAATTCAAGAAGTAAGTTGGGATTTGTTTTCTGTGATGGAACTCCAATGTTTGTTCATATTTTAGCAACAAACTGTTTCATTTGGTGTTAAAAACATCTAACAGCCTGGGATGGGGGCTGTGGAAGAGGAATCCCCCTTACCTTGGTAGTTTCATCTAACATACTCCCAGAATATGGTTCAAAGTGGACCAAAAACTATAGTAAAGAAAGAACTTGGCCAGAGATGCAGGGCAGGAACAGTAATGAAGAAGGATGGGAGGCTTGTATAAGTTCTCAGCTTGTTCCAGGAAAAAGACCTGATAGGGGGGCGGGGCGAATACAGGCAAAGCAGCAGTCACCAAAACAAGCAACACACACACAGAGTATTGGGTACAGACTAAGGCAGCAATAATCTCTTGTACCCAGTAATCATCTGTGGGAGAACAGGATTGGATAACCCTGTGCAGAGTCTGGAACTGTGAAACTGCATGGTCCAGCCCAAGCCCCTTTGTATATGTTCTAATTAGTAAATCTTCTTCATGCCGGTGCAAACAGCAGCAGCCTTCCTCTTATGATGTTAGTTCTCATATGTTAAAAATGAACAAACTACCCTTTGCTCTGCCTAGCCAGAAGCAGCCGTTGCTCTGGCCTGCATTTGTTACATAGCATAGGTCAGAACTTTGTTCTGTGCTTTCTGCCTTAGGCCCAGCTGTTCCTTTGAAAATGTCAGAATTACCATGTGACCAGTCACTCTTTTTTTAAAACTGTCACAGCATGTTACAGACTGAAAACACATGTCCCATGTGTTCTGAAAGGATTAACATTGTTCATCTTAAGAAAATAAATGACTGCACCCAGTACCTCAGACCAGAAGATGTGGACCAATAAATTCAGGTAGGTGCTAGAGCCTGTATTTTTCACTTAACAGGGGTCATTCTAGAAGACAGTGGGAGTTCTTCCCAGCAAAGGAAATGCAGTGTTCAAGAATCAAACATACAGCCTGGCTCTTCCCCCTCAGTTAACTGAGGCTCAGCTGTATCGCCTATTTGCCCTCAGGCATGCAAACACCAAGAGGTTTTGCTATTGCAAGTAACCTGGCTGTTACTCTTTCCAGTTGTGAGACTTTAAACCATTTACCTCTATGATCCCATTGTCCTCTGCAACATGTTCCTGAACACCAGTTGTGCTTTAGTAGCACAGAGAACAGTTTGAAGATGTCCGCATCATCAAATCCTTCTACAGATCTACCAGCAAGTGTTCAAGTGTAGAAGATATATGTTAACTGGAAGGCACAGATCTAAAATGCAGGTTACATGATCTTAGCTTCCGTGTTTAACAGAATATAAGAATATATCACAGGGTAACAGCAACACACTATTGGCTTGAAATATTGCAAAGAACAAGACTATTCCTCTGTCTGTACCACACACTTAGACGCAAGGCTTTGGTTTTGGTAAAGGAATGGTAACAGAAAATGAGTTAACAGAGTTCCTCGGTAATTTTGACATTTGAAGGTAGATTTACTACTGCAAACACCTTATGTGAAAACTTAACTATAGGTCATAGTAATGCACAAGTGATTATATAAGTTATATATACCCCAACCTTATTTTTGTTAATTTTTTTTCCTGGTCTTGTAGTTTGCTATCACAATCTATATACCTTGGGATGTGACTGCCTCTGTTTATTTTCAGGACTGCACGTGTTGTCCAGCAAAAGCAGGAAGGAATGCTCTATCACTACATTACACATCTTTTCCCCACTAGGATTAACAACAACCACATCACCTCTATTTTGTGATAGCCTGTAAATATTTAGGTTTTGATAAATTTTGTACTTTGTTTTATTATAGTAATAAAAGATTTATAATAATTCTTACCCAGCAAAATCTGCATTTTATTTGTACCAAAGACAAACCAAGGGGCATTCTGTGTTATGAGTGGCAAAAAAAAAAAACCAAAACCAACCAACCCTACTGTTCTCTTTTTCAACATCAGTTCTGAACTTTTATGAGTATTTTCTATTAAACATTTCTTACTCTTTAAGAATTCCTTTCTGGTTTTGATTAAAGATACAACCCATAAGTACAGGCTCCTCAGGTTTTGGAACTAAATCCCTTCCTGCTTTTCTGTGTTCTTAACTGAACAAAAGAGAAGTCAGAATATAACCACATCCTGTACATGCAGGAAGGCTAGAACCTTGGAAGAAAAGAGAGGGAGACAGAACACTCCATGAACTTTAAACAAAATTTTAAAAGACTCCTGTGAAACATTTTATTGTAATTTTACACACTGCTTAATTTCTGTCATGTACAAATATGCAGTTTAGTTTTGGGTCTTTTTTGAATCACTTATTATTTACAAGAGTTCACCACATAATATCAAGGGATTTTTTAAAAAACCATGAAGTTCTAGGAAGACTTAGCGTAAATGCTAGGTAACTAAGCATCACGTTTTCATCATGTTCATGCACCCTGGTGTTTGTTGTACAAGGATATTTATAGCTTGTAACGTTGTAGCACGTTAAGAGTAAGTACAGCACTGCATAGTGAGAGAGTACAGTGGCTACATCACCTCTATAAGAGGAGCATTTTCAACACACTGGTTCTACTTTCCCAGCTCCACCAATGGATCTGTTCAATGTTCCCAACAGAAGTTAGATAAGCAAAGCTGCATCCAGAGCAAGATTTTACTCTGTTTAATGTCTTGTCTTCTCTTTTCTTTTCCCTTCCTTTTTCGTTGTTTCTTCATTTTTCTCTCTTTTTGGCAGCTTCGAAGACTTCACTTTTTTTTGCTACAAACAGAATACAGACAGTTTAAAATCCAACTGCAACCTGACAAAAGCATAAGTCAAAACACAATCAGTGTTAAAAGAAAAAGCCGTCTCTTCTCTTCCCCGCCTCTTTCAGGAATCATGCTTTCAAATGACACGGAGAGTGCAAACTACAATATTCAGTCTTAAGGGCTGACCCACAGTTCCCTGATTTGGCAATACGTACAAAGAATATTACTGGAGTTGCCATCTGTGATAACCCCATGCAGAGGCCTGTGGCTACTCCTGACCTATGGTGCTGTCCCCACCAACACCTAAAATACTACTAAGTTTTTGAATTGTATTGCCTGAATGGAGTTTATAGCAATGTCTGACTTTGGTCCACATTCAAGCAGAAGGCAATGCATGGAAATAAGACTTTTTCACACTACTGCTAGCTCAGAATTTAAAGTTGAGAGATTATGTATTCAGTATGTACTATGATTTTTTTTTTAAATCATTCAGATGATGTCACAAGTCCCAGAAAGTAACTAAAAACAAGAAAACAGTTTAGTGTGGTAGTTTAACACTGAGGAAACTGTCACCTTAATCATTGCATCACTTTCAACAGTATCTTGCTCATCCTCATCAGACTGCATCTCTTCCACATTCAAGTCTTCATTCAGTTCCAAGGTCACTGCAGATCCCGACTGCCTTTTGTTTGTCTTGACAGCAGTAAGTGAATATGGAGTCAGGTGTGCCTCTTTGTTGTAGGCACGTGTAAAAGCTGCTTTGACCTGTTAGGTTGGAAGGAAACACAATGAGCACCAGCTTAGGAACTACAGATTGTTAGCTAACCAACTCTTGGCTACAGACTCCACATCTTCCTTTGGGAAGATGGGATCAGAAATTTGTAGAAGACTATCTCAGGACACAGGAAGCATCTAAGAGCTGTATTGTGAAGGCTCATTTTAAGCAAGTCCCACATCATCCTCAGAGTGCATCTTCAGACGTTTCTCACTTAGGCCTCCAATAATTTCAGCACTGTTGTTCTGCTGCCACCTAATCCAAGTCACTTACACAAAAGCCACCCTCAGCAGCACTGAACACCTGGCACACCAAGGCAGCATATTCAGACTAGGTGTAAACCCAATAGTAGTGTAGGTTTAGGTATCAGTAAAGACAATTATTCTCTCCCTGAGCGCTTGACCTGGGATAGAGGAGATCATGGTTCAGATCTCACACCTGCGTAGTTTATTGCAGGAACTTGAGCTTAGGCTCACCCTTGTACCAGATGAGGGTCCCAACCACTGAAGTCTCCAAGTGGACTAGCCCCAGAGGGATACTAGGGGAGCACCACACAAAGTCCCCCGAAGTCTGGCAGTTCAGTCTAACTGGACTGTGGAAGCCAGAAGCTGGAGGCCAACCTCTTAATTCAGTGCCTACACCGTAACAAATACGGTTGTGCATCCCTCCTCTTTCATAAGAGGTAAGAAAGGCAGTGCTATGCATGAAGGTGATACAGCTTATAGCCAGGACCCTGCATATAGAAAGGTACCAGCTTTCCCTGTCCCTTCTGTGTTCCGCTTCTGTGCCACAGACACAGCCAACTCCCAGTAATCCTTCACACCAGAAACAACAGGATAAGACAGCTGAATGAAGCACAGCCTGACTATGTTTTAGCACATAGCACTGGATCCTTAATAGTATCTTTGACAGCTGATTTGCAAAGACTACCATGGTCTCTAAGTACAGTTAATAAAACACTTAATTTGCAGCTGCACCAACTTCAGCCTTTCAGCAGCACATCCATACCACAGCTATTATTCTAGGATTTCTTTTTAAAGACATGTAAGATAAGGAAAAAAAAAAATCACTAGTGAATTTTACCTTGGGATCCAGCTTTGAAAAAGGACTGGGTTTGCCTCCCCATGTGCTTATTTCCATGATATTTTCAATATCTTCTTTCATCAAGCAGTAAGAGTCCATGAATGCTATAGCTTCTTCTATACCATCTGCTCCAAGGTCCTTCAAGGGCTGGACCAGCGCATCCCGCAAATACGGCAAATACTCCATGTTTACTGTCCTCTTGCATGTCTGGGTTCTTTGTCAAATTGCAAGCAGTAAGTAAATCTGTACAACCACCACTACTCACTTCTAAACACAAGCAATCTGTAGGCAAGCCCTCAGCAAATGGTTAATCAGCTGCATTGAGAGTTAACTGCAAGTGGTACTGTGCCATTCCTTTTGCAATTCCTGCACTAGGGATGATCCAGTGCAAGGTATTCAAACACGAAACAGTCTGGGGAAACACATCCATAACTGAGAAACAGCAACAGCAGGGGAAAAAAAGACTCTCAGTACCGCTACAAGTATTTGCAGCCTGATTGTTGTTCAAATTAAGTGCTAAGAAAGTGTCACCAACAACATATGAGCATATTCACAGAATATACACAAAGTTTGTGCCAAGCACAGCAATGAATTAATGGTAGGTAGCAAGCTAAACGAGAGCTAAGTATCTGTGTCATTATAATCCAGAAGAGGAAAGTCAGTACTACCTGAGACTCATGTGCATTGCCAGTTCTTGAATGATACGATCATGTTTGCCTGTGGATGAAAATTTCCCCAGCCAGCTGGGAAAGACAGGAAACTGGGACATGTAACCTCTCATCAGCTCCCCCGGGAGAACACTTGCATAAATGGCCTGAAAAAGTAAGACACATACCCAGCTCAAATCCCAAGGAATTAATCTCACTGACACCATGACATACTACCCTACTTGTCCCCATGAAAGGGGTTGGTGAATACAGTTCCACAGTGGAAACAGTTCATTTTAAGAGAACTCTTTCTTGGTTGCTTGTTTCTGTTCTACCCATTTTAGGTTACAGCTTGCTCTCTTGTACTGCCCTGTTTGTTACCATGTTCTGAAATACCTGTGAAATTATCTGGGTTTTAAAAGCCATTAAAAAAAATACAAACAGCCCTTGTTCATTACTGATGTCCAGTTTAGACTGCAGTCAAACAGCTGACTTCACACAAACAAGTGCTGTAGTCTCCAGCAGACGGACATGGTGAAGGAGACATTTCCAAAGAACACCACGAATTTACATAAAACTCAGCTAAATTCCTAAGCAAGTTACCTGTCTGGACCTGAGCTAAGCAGAGCGGTAGACTAAATGACCACCAGAACACTCTTCCAACTTAATCTGTGATACATCTCTGATGCCAGTCATAACCCTCTTTAAGCACGAGTCTTGTCAATGTTTCAGTGATCATTAAAAGCACAGCACAAAGCTTCAGTCCTTTGTGCTTTAGGAGAAATACTGGCCCAGTGAGAGGCTGGGATAGGAAGCACATAAAACTGAGTACACTTGGAACTGCATGTCAGAAGTGACAACATGCCACGTGCTCCTGTGCTTCATAAAGAAGGGTCAAGCTTCAGAAGACTTCATTTAATGATACAGCATGGGTTCAACAATATGAATATAGGAAACTGCTCTACTTGCTGCAGAACAGAATACTACATGAAGTAAGAACCATATAGGTCATAAAATTATACTGAAACATCAATTTCAAGCGATCAGTCTTTTACACCCATGAAGCACATAAAATGAGCGTTAAGCACTCACCTGTGTCGGAAGAAGGTTCCAGTTTTGCTTGCTACGAATTTGTTTGTCCACTATATCACCATCACATATACTATCAGCTGCTCTACTCAAGAGCACCAAGTGCTTTTTCAGATTTCCTCTGGAAAAAAATGAAACTGACTTTATTACAAAGCAGAAATATCCAGATAAATTTTAGTCTAGTTTTATTCCCTGACACAAAAGCCTACGTCAATGTAGGGTATGGAGTAACTCACCCAGCAGCAGCTGGTTTCACATGTACGTAGTTCTCTTGGACAAAGAGAGGTGCTAGGGAATAATCATGGAAGAAAAGATCTGATTTGTCTATAAGAGACATACGAGAAGCCTCCTCTCCAGTAGCAAAAACCTTCCGGACAACATCAAAAGGGCCCTAAGTAAATGATATTTCAGGAAGTCAGTGGGTTGCAGGTCAACACAAACAGGAAGACACAGCATAATATCAACAAAATTACTGTAGTGATAGTACCCAATAATATATGGACTCCTCAGTAGAAGTTCAATGTTCACTATTTCCTTCCTAGTGCTTTACCAGTTTTGAGAATTGAATTTTACTTCTGGTATTAAGAGAATTATCTCCCAAACAAAGGACTCGGGATGAGAAGTATGAACTTCATAATTGCATCTTACACAAGAAACCAGTACATCAAAATATACACCCAGTCCTGGATTCTCTTCAACTATTTGTGGCAAGTTTGACAGCTCCCTGCATCTAGTCTGTCAGCACTTTAGTTCAGAAGATGCTTATAAAGCCTAGTGATTGTATCGGAATATGACAGTAAAAGCCAATCCAGGATTTTACACTTACCAGTTTGATATCCTTTTTGGCTCTGCTGGCATCTGTTTTAGCCTCATCATAAGTCAATGATTTATCTTTTGCACACCACATATTAAGATTATGTAAAACCTAAAGAACAAAACAGACAATTTGGTAGTATAAGAGCACTTAAATGGAAGACTCGAGCAGAAAACAACCTGATCTCTCTGTATAAAAATAATAATACTGTTCAAATACTACACTGAAGTCAAGGACTTGTACATGACGTGCTCTCTGAATGGACACTGATGCCAGATGGGTGCTGACCTGTCTGATGTCCTGATTTGCTGCCAGGATTATCTCTTGCATAGCAGGTGGTGGAATTTTTAAACCTTCTTTAAACGCAATAGACATCATGGCACCCTGTAATACACACAATTGAGAAACTGTCACTAGAGAATTCCTGTGACTTCTTCCCCCTACAGAACACACTGACACATGAAAGAGCATTACCATCTTTTTCTCATTTTTTTAAACCACATATAATTTAAATTTTTCTCTCAAACATAAGTCATCCCTTGTCATTGATCATTTAAAAAATAAAATTTGGATATATATATAAGATAGACTTCTAAAATCTGAAAGGCTTTGAGATACTTCATTCTTTGGGAAGAAAAACTCAGACAACCCATTCTGAAAAGCAGAGTTACTCACTAAGATGATCCATTAAGTTTTAAGTGGTGTTTCCAATTCTGTATGAATTCTGCCACATGAAGTCAAAAGTTAACTTATGGTAATTCAGCGCAACCCATACAGCCACAGCCTTCTTACCTTAATCTGTTCTAGACGAGGTCTCTGAAAGCGAAGATCAAAACAGTAGTGGACCAAGGAACGAATTTTAGGATGGTTGCGATCATTACACATACAGATGATGGGTATCTTTGTGTGTCTGATCAAACCAATCAATTCCTGTGATTTAAACACATTACAACAATTACATTAGATACCTCAGAGGACAATTAACATGTCACACCAAGCAGCATTAATCTGCCTTAAATCAGATCCTTGACAGATGCAAGTCTATAAAACTCCTCCTACTGTAATCGTGTTCCCACAAGGTGAAAACCTAGCCCCTCTACTTTTTCCACTTGCCATTCCAATTAAGATCAATAGCCTAGAGTACAGCTGTCCACCTGCAGAACAAGATTGACTTGTCCAAAGGCAAATTTGACCTGGCCTAAGCCCAGAGAGAGCATACATCATTCTCACTGCACCCTGCCACAAACAATGAAGAAGTAAAGATGACTTCTTCCCTGTCCAAAGAGCTCAACCCTGAGGCTTCAGCATTATTTGACTTACTAGAACAAACTTTGCCTGCCCTAATGAAGGCGAAGTTCAGTTCAATTTCATACTCCTGCAATGTCTGCATCTGAGCTAAAGATCTGTATGCCTTTTATTGTCAAGGTATTGCATGTAACCACAGGAAATCTTCAGAAGCTAAAACTGGAGCTGCTAAGGAGAACAAAGTATAATATTGCCTATGCCACATTATTTACTCAGTGTTACTTCCTGATGAAGAGAGCAACTGTCCCAGTCAGATGACAAACCTCCCACTCCACAAAGATGTGAGCTGCAGAGACCTTATGATAAATTCACCTGTCCAGGAATAAACATCTGAAGGGCACACACCCAAGTTCACCACTCCACATTTCTTTTACAGAAGTATCTTTTTCCCCCCCTCTATCAATAACATAATTCTTCTTACACAAAGACAGACTGTACTCTACAGAGAGTTTCTACGGACCGTGGGTTGAGGACAGTAGACTGGCTTGAAATATTATGTACTGTATATGGTATGAACTCTTAGCAATGGCATTAGCTAATAACTACAGCAGTTTCACCTGAATCCCTCCTCTGTCTTCATTGCCTGCCATACCATCCACTTCATCCATGATCAATACATGTTTCCCGCTAACTGATGAGGATGTGCCTGAAAATGAATATGGACAAGAAAATGAGATGGGAATAAAATAGGGTCTTGCTCAGAGAGCTACCCCATGCTTTGTAGGTCAGGTAAACCCATCCTAGACAATTGAGGTGGTGGTGAACCTCTTGCTCTGCCACTTGATCACATTAATCTATGTTCATACAATAGAACTGACTATAACCTTAGGTCATCTTCCAAGAAACAAGTCCCATGCAACTAAACAGCAGCTGCAGAGTTCTTGAGTCGTTTGTGCAGATTAACAACTGATTCTACAAATAGCAGGATTTAATTCTACAACTGAAGATGAAATAAAACAGCTTACTAAATGAACTAGTCCCTATTAGAGCCAGATCCCTCCACGTCACGAACAAGTTAAATTTCTAACACTGCTGTGTAATAAGGAAGCTCTGTCCCTCCTGTAACTGGACTCTTAACACAAGAAAAATCCTCATTCAAACCACAGACATACCAGAACAGAAGTCTTTGATGCTGGTGTTGTTAAGCGATTCAGCAACTACTTCCTTTAGACTGTTCTTACTGCGAGTGTCACTGGCATTCAGCTCCACATAGCTATACCCCAGTTCCTAGTCCAAACACACAAACCACACAAAAAATGAGAACACACATCAGTGAAAGAGTATACACATACTCAGAATTAGAAATAGTATTTCAAAGTTACAGAAGAAAGCTTTTACAACACCATTTTCATAATTTTTCATAATTTGTGGCTTTGATTCCTTTCTCCCCTTATACTCTTCTTCTCTCCCACTCCAAAAATATTTATAACCAGACATGGAATGGATACTCCTGAAAAAG